CAGAGGCATTGTTCCTTTTGGCTGTACGTAGCAGACAGTGCGTGATAGTCGGTTTTGTCTTCTTCCTCTTTGTTATTTTCTTGACCACTTTCTTGTTTACTTTTCTTCGTCTTAAGGAAATAAAACATGTCAAAGTTTCAATCCCATCGTTTACCTATATAGTTGTTATTATGTTCACATAGTCTTTCATTAAAAATCCACATACATATATGTGTATATTGATGTCGAGTGTCAACAACTCATTTCCAATTTTGCAAAAAAAAAAAAGAAATTAGTATAAAATGTTTATATTATTCAAAAAAAAAAAACATTTTAGGTCATACATGTTGCATGACCTTAGAACTTAAGTCTTAAAACATGGAAGCAACTAGAATCAGTGCGAAAATACCGTAGTTTTATGGTTACGGCAAATTTACAACAATAAAACTAACTAAAAGCCTTAGTGGAAAGAAAACATACAATATGCAATTTGAAAAAGGACCGAAGGTTGTCAATACGCAAAAAAAAAAGATTGATGGAAGCCACATAAACAGATAAAATCCGAGTTGACTCACCACTAGATAAAATCCACCACAACCAATCTACAACATGGCCGGAACCACAACGAGCCATAAATCCGACTTGCTCTTGCTTACGAAACTATGACACGAAACGAGAGAAACCACATAAACAGAGATTGTTGTACTAATTCACTAACAAAGAAAGCGATTAGAAGATAATCGGCACATTATTATAAAAGTGACAACTTCTAATTTAATCCGAAATATTTTTTTAAAACATTAGAAAACCATAAAACCAGAGTCCTAATTGCATCAATCCAAAAACCAAACTAAAGAAAGACTAATTTTTTTCGATAACGTATATTATATAGATTTTGAATATGATAGGGTTACAATGACAATATTAACACAAAATATTAAGTTATATATTGTAATAATTAGGTTTGTAGTATAATTTCAACAAATAAATTAAATCACCGTAAAGGTAAATAATATTGATTTAGTATATGTTGTAAACTTACAAAAATTAGTTTTAACGATTAAATGGTTATATGTAAATAAATTATTTTAACTTTGGAATAATAATGAATAACTATAGTTTGATAGTTATTATATTATTTTGAAGTTGTTATATTTTTAAAGATGTATTTTGTTGCATGTGTTATATAGCAACCCATATTTGTTTTTTCTTTGTCCTATCACCTTTTGTAACCATTAGAGTAAATATTACTAGGGAAGTTCTTTTTGTTTTCATCACAAGAGAAGTCTAACTTGTAATTTCTTTTAAAAAACTCAAGTTTAATATGAAGCAAGAAGAAGTTCAATGAACCCATTTGTCACTATACATTTTGTAGTCATCTTATAATAAATACATACAACGATGCAACATATATGTCTGTATTCGAGATTGGAACCTCCACTTTCATGCGTTTTTGTCTACACATGAGGTGGATTTAGAATCACCATGACTATTCTTTAAATAAATAAAAAAGAAATATTTCTTTTGTGTTAAGAAAAAAGTAAAATATGATTCTGAGAAGACAGAAACGTCCAAACACACCCTAACAAAGACAAAACATAACCCAAAAACCATCTCTTTTGTTTTTGTTGTCTTCTTAAAAAGATAAAACAATAAATTTATAGAAATTTGAGATGAGGCTGAGGCTTGGGTGTGGTATTTGTTTGTCGTCTTTAAATGTGAATTGTCTTTTTATGACTTTTTTCATTTGTCTTTTTCTTCTTTTAAATGCTCAGCTTTTGTCTTTTTGTCTTTTTTCTCTCTCTATTTGTTTTTTAATGTGTGAGAACATAAATACAATTTTAAAACTCTAAAGACCATTTGACTAAAAGATTCTATAGAAAAGAATGAAAATTATTTTACTATTTGTACATGGTCTATAATAATAGTAAAACAGTATAAAACATGCATGATAGAATAGCTAGCAGAAGGATTTATAACTTATATAGTAAGAAATTCAATTTTGCTTTTAACTTATTAAAAAGTAGACAATGACAATTTTTTTTTAATTGAATTTTGAAACCGCATAATATCTAAACACAAATCAAGATTTCGTGAAATTGGTATTATTAACAGAAGTATAT